TCCTCAATCAGTGATGAATAAAATGCGGTTCTGGCACTATGAAGGGCTTTTTTTTATATATTATTAAAAGTGGGTCTATTTTACTTTTCAGCTTTTTTACTTTTCAGTTATTAAACTATCTTTCCAGGCTATGAAAAACTCTTCTTACGGAGAGCAGAGGAGTACCAGGCCAAACTTTTTGAATATGAATATTAATAAGGGAGTTCATTTCAAATCTATAAATAGGGGTATGCCTGGTAACATAAATTTTTAAAGACTGCTTAGCAGCAGCAGCAGCCTCCTCATTACCATCAATTCCGACATGAGCTGGAACACATAAAAAGCTAACTGTGACGTCTTTCTTACTCATCTTCCGCAAGGACACTAATATCTTATCTAATATGTCTTGTCTCAGATACGCCCGAGTTAATACCAGAGAGGTCCGACGAATTATCAGAACAAATTAATCCCATAGTAACCTTATTTTCCTTCACCCACTGCAAAGCTAGTAGTATTGCAACTTCGGGGGTCCTCGGTTTGTTAAGCCGGCGTCTCCCAGTTGGGCGACTGAGTGTCTGTGATTGGTTGACAAGCTCTCAATGCTAACTCCCTGGTGCTACAGAGGAGCTGGTGGGCACGACACTGTGGAGTAATTTAAGTAAAATGGCGTTGTCTCAAGGAACAAAGAAAAAAGTTTGCTACTATTATGACGGTAAATATTCGACTTGTGCAGTCAGGTTTTCATGATGATTGCAGTTGTTTTGAAGGCGTGTAAATGCTTAGGAAAATTTACTTGTATTTCCCTTTTTAAAGTGTGCCGTGCGGCCAGGCTAGCTAGCCGGTGTAGTGAGCTAACATTAGCTTGCTCAATTGGCTAAGCTATCTTGACTTAGCTACATGGTACGATTAGCTCAGTGTTAGCTTGAAAATGCACGCTGTAACGTTAAAACATCTGGTGTTTATCTCAGTTTCAAGTAACCCAATTATGAGACCAGATTCCTTAATTGATTTAAACTTTCATTGTATTGTGACTGGGGCATGAGCGCCGATTCGGTCATTGTAGGATCATAGGGGAGTCCTCAAGCTATCCGGCGCTAATCATATTAGTGTGTTCCCCTCAACTCGCTGACAACTTCAGAGAACTGGGGACCGAGGCACCGGCTGCCAGTTTGATTGTTTAGCGAAAAGTTTTGGTGTAACGCTAACGTCAGATAAAAGTGTGTATCCACTATTGTATTGTATTGCATTGTATTGCATTGCATTTCGCTTTACTTGTGTGCATGAGCACGTTTACGAAAATGGCACCAATGTAAACGTAGAACATTGCAATCCAGATTAATTGCCCATCTCTTTTTCTACTAGTTAGCTAATTATTGCTCAGATTTTAGCACATATCACTGTTCACATTGTATTGTGCTTTTAAGGTTTGTGTAAATAACGGGAAATCTGTCAAAAGTTTTAATAGGATCAACTTGATGGCTTGGATATAAGGTTAGGCCAAATTGTGCGCAAGTTCAGCCTGATTCATAAAATTCTCAAATTGGGTATATTTTGAATGGAGCTTTATGTTATCTTCACACAAGTACCAAAATACATTGTAACTGTAGGTTTTAAAGCAGATTTTGTCATGTAAACCTATCTCTTCTCGCCAAGGTGATGTGGGGAACTATTACTATGGCCAGGGTCATCCCATGAAGCCCCACAGGATCCGCATGACACACAACCTCCTTCTCAACTATGGACTCTACAGGAAAATGGAGATCTATGTGAGTCGCACATCTTCACTCAAACCTAAGACACAATTGCAAGTGTCACTATTGTTTGTCAAGATTAGCATTTTCTTTGCGCTGTAATGACACTGCACCATAATTTTTAAAGCTAGTCCAAAATTAGCTGGAGTATTATTGGTGTGCTTAACCACTCAAGGCTTGGCAACTTAATTGCGAAAAGTAACCAACAGAGAAGTATGGGGCATGAATGAGCTGAGGCAAATGTTTTTGACAGATGTTTCCAGGTTGCGGCTTTATATTACACAAACTTTGCTTCTCTGCAGTAAGTGCTTGCTGTGTAGATTGATGTGGATTTAAAAAAAGAAATCTGAATTCTCAGGTGTAAAACGTGCTGGCATGAAAATAATTGTGTGTAGTGAAACGCACAGCTTGACATGTAAGAAATATTCTAGTGACATTTTGACTGCATTAAAACAAAGAAGGACCTTTTCAGCAAACTTTTGGTCATAATGGATTTAATTAGGGCTGCATCGTAATAGTTGAATAGTCAAGTCATTAGTTGAGAGACCTGTCAAGTCGACTGACACTCTTCTAGTTGAGCCTTTTTTTTATTTTATTGTATTTTATTTTTTTATCAGCCAGTGTGCATTACACTAGAAGGTAGCTTCAGGTTGGCAGTTTGTCGTGTCTTCTCCTCATTTTGGTGTGCCAAACAGCATTTTGCTCCGTTCTTCCCCCTGTGGTCAGGGAGGGGCTCATACCCACTTCATCACATGGATGTACATTAATGTCGGATCTGTTTAGCAAATTGCAGAACAAGGAGAAAAGGACAACAAAACCCATTAGGACAAGCCACATAAAGGGGAGATTTGTACTTTATTAGAAGTGTTTTCAGACATTTTACAAAAGAAAAGACTGCTGCAAAGATGTGGCTGGTTTTGCATAGCCTAATGTTATGCGAGTCTGGTTTGTTTACCCATCTCTGTTAAAGTGCACCGGAGAGCCATTTACCAACTGTTTCTGTGATATGCATCGATCCAAACAGGACTAGGAAGCGAACAAAAATGTGCAGAGAAAACATTTCAATGAGGAGTTATAAGTAAGAGGAATCGTTTGCAGTGCAAGCTGGCACACATCAAATCCAGAGTAACAACATGCTGTGGTTAACTGGCAGGAGAAGCTTAAACCTGCTGGTAAACTAGGCTATAATGACATCTCCAGAAGAAAAATTTGCCTATAAGAGCATTGTTTCAACAGAAATACAAGTGTGCTCCCTGTCTCCTGATTCCAATAAATCCTGACCACTGGCAGGTGAAGTGAATAACACTGACTTTCTGTTACAGTGGCACCCATCAGTGTGTGGGGTATATTAGGCAGCAAGTGAACATTCAGTCCACAAAGGTGGTCTCTATGAAGAGAAAGAGTCAGGCGCTGTAGTGGTGATATCACACCTAGAGTGGTGAGGCTGTTGAATTGGTCTAAAAAATTCTCTCTAATTTGTCCAGGCGTCCACAGTTTTCACTCCTTTTAATAAGTTTTTCACTGAATTGTAGACACATCTGTGCTCTTCCTGACTGTAGAAGCAAATGGATTCACAGAAGATGCACAGTGAGCTGCAGAGTGGCACGAGTGACAACCAACTGCCACATTGACTCCTATGTGAACGGTATTAGGCAGGTGGTCATAGTGTTATGGCTGATCGGTGTAAATATCTATATTTAAAAAAAGTAGGGTTGCAGCAGTATATTGGTGTCACAGTATATCATAGTATGAGCATTGATGGTTACCATATCATGCACAAGTGCTTATTACCAGTATTGAAGGAGAAACAAACAAAAAAAAAACAAACACATGCAGTGTTCACTTCTCCTTTCCTTCCAGACTGCCTGTCAGGCTTTGCAGCGGGTGCCACATGCACAAATGGGCTATGATAAATTATGGAACATGATAAAGATTTGGAAACAAATTGGAAAGCATCTTTAACTCAGGACATTATCTTTTTTGTTACCCATTTCAACTAACCCCTCTTTTGCCAGCTCCAATTTGGATGGGGCTTTTAACTTATGAACACAGCCTTGCTTACTCAAGAGTGGAGGCCTCTATAGAGAAGTAACATTTGCATCCTGGACAGTATTTAATTCTTCATCAGAGAAGTTTTTCAAAGCATGGTAATCAACCACGGTTTTAATGATATATAAAAATTGAAGCAGTAATACGAACTGTCAGATTTTATCATGGTTTACTGACACCTGTGACCATTTCATCCTTAGCTCTCACCTTGTTCCTCTTTACCTTTCTGTTTGATTCCAGAGACCACACAAAGCCAATAGTGAAGAGATGACAAAGTACCATAGTGATGACTACATTAGGTTCCTGAGGTCTATCCGACCAGACAACATGTCGGAGTACAGCAAACAGATGCAGAGATGTGAGTGTGATCTTCTTCCATTACACATTCCACTGACATTTTCTTGCTGTGCACTTCTGTTAAAGCCGTGTGTCCTGTGCTGTTTCTCACAGTTAATGTCGGAGAGGACTGTCCAGTGTTCGACGGTCTGTTTGAGTTTTGCCAGCTCTCAGCAGGTGGCTCTGTCGGTATGTTACTCCAACCACACTTCCCATAATCTCTCTGATGCACGCGTCATCATACAGGAGAGACATTTGTGAGATTTGTGCAGGTCCAGTTTCCAAAACTGGAAAAAGTCAGTACTATAGGCCTTAAACTAATACTACTTCACCATGAACAATATGTTAGAATGATCATTAATTAATTTTCTATTTAAATGTTAAACTCACCAAAGTCCGTTATATTAGGATTGTATTTTTTCTCCATACATTGTGTCCTGTAGCTGGAGCAGTGAAGTTGAACAAGCAGCAGACCGACATTGCCATCAACTGGGCAGGTGGACTCCACCACGCCAAGAAGTCTGAGGCCTCTGGTTTCTGCTACGTCAACGACATTGTCCTTGCCATACTTGAACTGCTTAAGTAAGCTGCCGTTGCTGCTGAATTTACTTTGTATTTAACAATTCTGTATCCACAGCCATCTGGTGGCTTCTTAGTTCTTTTGAATCCCAAAAGAAATCTGGCCTGTATATTTTCAGAATGGTTTAGATGGATTACATCTGCACCTGAAGCACACAATCAAAAAGACAGTTTAGCCAAGGTTCCTTCTTAGAGTGTGCCCTGTTAGATTTTTTTTTATGGCTATTTATTTGGTTTTGCATAGTGATACATCACTTTTGCTACATGAGGCTACATACTGTGTGTTGGTGTTAAATACACCTGGATATACCTAGGTTAGAGGTCTTTTTGCCTGCTAAAATGCATTCCGCACCTGACTGGTGGCCGTTTCCTATGTTTATATTTATTTTGGGCTTATTCTGTTTGTCTGTTAGAACTTGAATGCCTCTTTAAGATGTCACTGACGGAATCTTCCTTTCCGTCTAGGTACCACCAGAGGGTGTTGTACATAGACATTGACATCCACCATGGTGATGGAGTGGAGGAGGCCTTCTACACCACAGACAGGGTCATGACCGTCTCTTTCCACAAGTATGGGGAGTACTTCCCTGGCACAGGAGACCTGAGGGTTAGTTGTTCTCATTTCTCTTCTACAAACCTGGGGGGTATTCCCAAAAGCAATTTAGGTGAGGTTTTTTTTTTTCTGGTGAAATGAGGGGAACTCGGGGTTTTCAAGTTCTAGAAACTGAGATCACTTGCCACGGTAACTTAATCCATTAATGTAGGCTGCTGGCTGGCAGATTTTCTTCTGCCAGCCATCTTGAAACCCAGACTTGCTCTGCATGTCCTCCCTCCTGCAGAAGATGTTTGACGTCATTTCATTTCCTCATTCCTACAGTTTATAGTGAAGTGCAGATCGGAGCATATTAATTATAAGAAATTTACATTAGGTGAAGAGAATAAAAATCCCAGTTAGATAATTGTTTAATAGTTTGTCACCCAAGACCTGTCTTTACTAATGTGATTGTGTTTGTGATCCATCAGTCATCAGTGTAAAGGCAGCAGTCTCTCACATTTACACAGTGTGGATTCATCCTCAACTTAGAATAAAATCTATAGCCTGTATTGCCTGTTTTTATTTTACAATGTGACTCTGTGGATATTATAGCAGCTGCCATTTTGTCAGTCAGTTTGCCCTCCTGCTGAGCCTGAAGAAGCTGCCTACCATGCAGAAGAATTTTCCTATTCATATAGTTCATATTAAAGCACATATTGAATCAAAATCCCAGTGCAGTGGTGTCCTGCCACCGCAAAAATATTGCTGCCGCTATTTCAGCATTCGACCATGGTAAAGATTGGTTTGAAATTGGTTTGAGATTTAACATTTGTAGTTGTGCATGCACACGTCACTGTTTTGTAACAAGTTGCTTTGAGTAACGAGCTTACCGCTGCTCGCAACATAATGTTACTCATTGCCTTGTTGTAAATCGCATGTCAAAAATAAACAGCTGGAACAACTTTTTCCAGTGATGCTAGTCTGTGCAGCAAAATGTCTGTGAAGTAATTAGGTATTGCAACTTATACAAGTGATAGGCTATTTTATCAAATTATGGTAGATCTGGATAGTCCTGACTGTACTGGAAAACAAAATACAGCATCTAGTCATTATTGCTAGATTTCAATAAATATATTCTAAAGCTTGTTTAACTGTTGAGTTTCACTTTTTCATAATTAAAAAAAAAAAAGGTTGTCATATTCACTCTGACTGCTGGAGACATCCACCCCCACCCTTGCGCTGCTGCTGGGGAAGTCAAATCCTAGCAGAAATACTAAAATCCTCATTGAATATTAATCTTATCATTATATACTGCTGCAATCGAATTAGTTTATCAAGACCTAGCTATGTTTACTAATGTTACTGGTTAGAAAATTCGTCATCAGGGTACGGACGAAGCAACCCTCACATTCATACGGATATGGTTAGTTCCTCCTCAGCTCAGAATAAGAGCTATGCAGACTGCTTATCCATCTTTCTAATACTGAGACTCTGTTGTAATGAAGACAACTGTCAGGTTGTCAGTCAGTTCCCCTGCCCTGAAACATCTATTGTATAAATGGCAATATGTAAATTAAATAAAGTGAAAATCGACTACAAAACAAGATTTAGAACATTGAGATCTAGTAGTAATAAATGGATATCAGTAATTTTTCCAGAATAGTCAGAACTATTTGATATGATAATCAAATTATCAGTATCATAATTTGATATGATAGCTAATCACTTATGAGTTTTGTCATTTCAAAACCTGATTACTTCACAAACATTTGTTGCACACACTAGCAAATATACCATCATCATTGGAAAGGACTGGTGATGCTGTTTATTTTGACATGCGATTCATGACAAGGCAATGAGTAACGTTACTTTGGGAGCTAAAGAACCAAGAGTAAGGGGTGTCAATTTTTCCTACAAATCTGGACAGATTGTGTCCGATTGGTTGTTAGGGTTAAACAGTAAAATCTGACTTAATGTTAGTTACTTCAGTCTACCCTCCTCTCTCTCTCTCTCTCTCTCGCTTTCGCTCTCGCCTCAGCCGGGTGTCCCCATCTGTCTCCACTTCCTGTTCCTGTAATTTCAAATGAAAAGCCCTATGCAAAATGGTGTAATTGCGATTTTATGATATTGCATAAAATTCTGAAGCAGTGGCGGCAATAAATTAAGCAGCAGCATACTGCCACTTAAAATGCATATAGCAGAAACATTGTCAACTCAGTTGTTGAACCACCTTTCTGGAACACACCCCAGTTGTTGTGTTGTGTGTGTATATGGGCATTAATGTAGTGATATGTCTAATATTTTCAGGACATTGGAGCTGGAAAAGGCAAATACTATGCAGTAAATTACCCGCTTAGAGACGGCATTGATGACGATTCCTATGAAGCCATCTTCAAACCTGTAAGTTTGTTTTAAATACCACTTTAAGTTCCACTCCAGAGACATTTTAATATTTATGTTTGCATATAAAAATACTCTGCTATAAACAGTATATAGTCTAGCAGTTTTAACTCAAAAAAGTTCAGTAAATATCTGTAATAGGCCTCAACATTTGCCCTTCATTGTGCATTCCAGGATTTATGAATATTCAATTATTATTAGCACACAGTATAATATCAAACGCTAATGGGAGACTTCCATATCAAAGTGTAAATGTAAGACAACAGACTAAAAGACATCGCCCTAGCAAATGAGCTGTTAATAATGGTACATGTCTCACACCATCTCACTGTTAGCTAAATAGCAGGATCTGGTTTACATACAAAAACTGCACACTTCGGCATATATAGTGTCAACAGTCAACTTTAATGAACACACTCCTATCACTCAAACGTTAGTTCTAGCTGATCCCAGGTCAACTTGAAATCTGCATTTGCATAACGATTTGTGATTGGCTTTCAGAATTGTGTTGTCACAAATTTGGTTTTCCCGCATACGTTTGAAATCACGTTTTCTAGGAAGTGGGCCGACACTGCCCCCTTAAGCAGAATGTGAAAACGCCTGGTCAGTGACGAACTGTGCACATGCACCAGTCAGGACAGTAGAAGTCTGACATTTTAGGGCATACAAAAATGTTTAGGGGGTCTTTAATCTCTAAATTCAGACTCCTCCTCTGAGCAAGGTTGTGAATTTATTTGTGTGTTAGATCATGGCCAAAGTCATGGAGATGTACCAGCCAAGTGCAGTGGTACTCCAGTGTGGGGCTGACTCTCTCTCTGGAGACAGACTAGGCTGTTTCAACGTCACCATCAAAGGTATAGGGAGTATTTGACAGACGGGCAGCAGCGTTTTGTACCAATTGAAGCTTCCAAAGGAGAGATTGGTTGATTCCAATATAAAGGGCATGGCAGTAATCCAGTATATAAAAGGCATTGCAGTAATCAAGTCGTGAAGTGATGAAAGCGTGAATGGCTTTTTCTAAATCCACATGCGACAGGAAGGGCTTCAACTTGGTTAAAAGCCTCTGGTGACAGAAGCTGGTTTTGACCACAGATCTGATCTGTTTGTCAAATCTGAGGCTACTGTCAAATAATACTCCTAGGTTTTTCACAGTATCAGTAAATAATAGGGCCGAGGCGCCTAAATTAGGTACAACAGCGGAGGAGTCAGGACTAAAAACAATGTATTCAGTCCTACTTTCATTTAAGTGGAGGAAATTCTGTGATAGCCAGTGTTTAATATCACAAAGGCAGTTATGTAATGGGATGAGGGCATTCGAATCACATTGGATCAGCGGCAAGTAAATCTGAACATCGTCCGCATAAAAATGAAAGTGAACGTTGTGCTGTGAAATGATTGGGCCAAGTGGAAACACACACACACACACACACATATAGCTAGCTAGATAGATAGATAGATAGAGTAACGGGGCCAGAACCGAGCCTTCGGGACGCCGGAAGGTGGAAGAACAGTCGCCAATAACAACAGGGAAGGTCCTTTTTGTCAGGAAAGAAGTAAACAAATGTAGGGCCACACCACTCAGGCCAACGTTATGTTCCAGATGGGAGAGAAGAACTGCATGATCGACGGTATGAAACGCTACTGATAGATCAAGGAGAACTAAAATAATGGGGCGCTTGGCATCAAGGGCCAGAGTAATATCACTAAGGACCTTCAGTAATGCGGATTCAGTGCTGTGACGGGGCCTAAAACCTGATTGAAATTTTTCAACAACATCCGCATTTGCATAACGATTTGTGATTGGCTTTCAGAATTGTGTTGTCACAAATTTGGTTTTCCTGCATACGTTTGAAATCACGTTTTCTAGGAAGTGGGCCGACACTGCCCCCTTAAGCAGAATGTGAAAACGCCTGGTCAGTGACGAACTGTGCACATGCACCAGTCAGGACAGTAGAAGTCTGACATTTTAGGGCATACAAAAATGTTTAGGGGGTCTTTAATCTCTAAATTCAGACTCCTCCTCTGAGCAAGGTTGTGAATTTATTTGTGTGTTAGATCATGGCTAAAGTCATGGAGATGTACCAGCCAAGTGCAGTGGTACTCCAGTGTGGGGCTGACTCTCTCTCTGGAGACAGACTAGGCTGTTTCAACGTCACCATCAAAGGTATAAACACTGTACACTCCACAGTACTCAAAAATGCTTTTGTAAGATTGAAAATTTGACATGTGTGTTGACTCTTCTAGGTCACGCCAAATGTGTGGAGTACATCAAAGGTTTCAACCTGCCCCTGCTGATGCTGGGCGGCGGAGGCTACACCATTCGTAATGTTGCCCGTTGCTGGACCTTTGAAACAGCTGTCGCCCTGGACTGCTCCATCCCCAACGAGCTGCCCTACAATGATTACTTTGAATACTTTGGGCCTGACTTCAAGCTGCACATCAGTCCATCCAACATGACCAACCAGAACACGAATGAGTACCTGGAGAAGATCAAGCAAAGATTGTTTGAAAATCTCCGTATGCTGCCACATGCCCCCGGTGTTCAGATGCAGGCAATCCCTGAGGATGCTCCCCACCCACACAGCGGAGATGAGGATGAAGAAGACCCAGACAAACGCATCTCCAGTAAGTGACCTGTAGAGACATACAGTTGTCTTAAAACGGGGTTAGTCTGTGTCCGGTGTCAATGACCTGTGCTGGTGTTGTGTTTCTAGTCCGGGCCCATGACAAGAGGATAGCCTGTGAAGAGGAATTCTCCGACTCTGAGGATGAAGCAGAGGGGCAGGGAGGAGGCCGCAGGAACGAAGGCAACCACGTGAAGAAGGAGGAAGAGAAAGAAGGAGAGGAAAAGAAAGGTGAGATTCAGTCACAGGACAAGCTGTTGTTTATAGATGAACACATTTATTTGACGTGTTGCTTTTCCTCCTAGAAGTGAAAGAGGAAGAGAAGGAGGAAGAGAAGATGGACACATCAGGGTGAGAAAATATGGTTCTGATTAAATGGTCTTGGAGCAGGAACATTTTTAAAATCTGGATTTGTGAAAACTTGTGGATAGTAACAGTGGTTCTCAGTGTGCATCACTACAGTGAATATACACTAGTGAATAAACTGAAAGCTGAGTTTATTTACACTACAGGAAACTCAGTTTAGAGCCACATTAGGCTCACAACATAAACTTCTCCTGTTGAGGATATGGGAACAACAGCTGTGCTACATTCAGTAGACTTCTGTGTGGAATTTATCCAGTGACCTAAACTCTAAACTGGGCATGTCGCATCCTAGTGGTTTTTATCCTTTTTTTTTTTATATATGTTGTGGAATGTGAATAAAAATGTACACCCATATGGACCAATGGAGGTCAAGATGTTGCTACTTCAGTTACACAATGGAACGTACAAGTTGAGCATTCCAGTCATTTATAGGTGCATCTCAGTAAATTAGAATATCGTGGAAAAGTCAATTTATTTCAGTAATTTAACTCAAATAGTGAAACTCGTGTATTATATAAATTCAGTACACACAGACTGAAGTAGTTTAAGCCGTTGGGTCTTTTAATTGTGATGATTTTGGCCACATTTAACAAAAACCCAAAAATTCACTATCTCAATCAATTAGAATACCTCATAAGACCTATAAAAAACATTTTTAGTGAATTGCTGTCCTTCTGGAAAGTATGTTCATTTACTGTATATGTACTCAATACTTGGTAGGGGCTCCCTTTGCTTTAATTACTGCCTCAATTCGGCATGGCATGGAGGTGATCAGTCTGTGGCACTGCTGAGGTGGTATGGAAGCCCAGGTTTCTTTGACAGTGGCCTTCAGCTCATCTGCATTTTT